TTCCATGCATGATAAGATCTCCTGGTTTGACAAATGCCATGCTGTATAACTCGTTGAGTCAGAGAGGTGCACAAGCCATCACAATAGGTCAAGGTGCAGTCTCGTCGTGATGGAAGCCCACGCCGCTTAGAGGATTCTGTCAATGGTTTGGGCGTTCTGAAAAACATAACAGACCCAATGGCAATGAGCTCCTTAAACCACAAGAAACTTACTTCCTCGTATGGAACAATGGAATGGCTTTACAACTCTGTGATTAATCAATGCATCGGACACAACTGGTTCTTGAAGGTGTGTGAGAATGCTAGATACAAAAGACATATTTTCTTGCGTCAACAAAAAGGTTCTTTATCACTCGATTTGAAACCCTGCTGATTATGTGCCCTGTGGGCAAACTCGATTTCTTCTGCCGTACACGGACTGAGATAGCACGTTTTTCTAACATACACCCCTAACCATTTTTCTTTTGCCTCTGGTTCTAAACACGTGAAGTTGAATGCATGTAACAAGTAACCGAAAAATCTAAATCAGCTGAAAGAATAGAACACTGTCAAGTAATTGACAGAAGCGATTATAAACCAGTGGAACCGGGTCATGCATTGACTCACCCGCGCTGCTTGAAATAAGTCATCCAACATTTCAGGCTTGAAGTTATACTTTGTTTCAAGACTGGATATGAGCTCTTTTGTATTTTTGCACTGTTCCAGCTCCTTTAGAATCTCTGGACTAAAGATGGCTTTGACAGGTTCTATTTTGGCATCAATTTCTTGAATTCGACCGACCACCAACTCCCGTTTCTTAGCAAAATCTAAGGAACTGATCAAGCAATGATTCAATTACCCTCCGGAGCGTCCTTTCCGTACAGCATGGAATACGTATCCATGGCGTAATCAATCATTGAAGACCCTTGCAAAACTTCGAGCTTCGTTTTCAGTAAACTGACACCATCATAAACCTATCGGAAAATGCAATCGCAATTTTTCACTTACGCTTTTAACAGAAATATATTCCAGCAGGGGAATTATTAAATGTTTATCGAGATAGTTGCTTATTTTCTTCGTCAAATCGTACTCAGCCATACTGCAACAACAAGTACCACCGGTAGCGCAATTGACCACTAATAGCGCCTCTTTAGGTCAAATTTTCAGTTCCGTTCAATTCAGTTCAGTTCAGTTCTCACAGGACGAATTGTGGCTCTTGCCAATCGAGCGTCCAGATTAGTGTGTTGTCGGTGAGGTTCCTTGGCTTCCAACACTTCGATATGCAATTTTTCTGAAAGGCAGAAATATGTGGTGCAGTATCACATCCTTTGTGGTTAGGTTATATGTGGTACTAAACGCTTACCTCAGGGAATACCACTAACCAACATTCATCAAGTGCCTTTTTAAATGCATTTGTAGTGTCTTACATTGCTATCTACTTTTATATGACATGATTGTACGGCTTGTTTTAATACATACAACAACTAACTACGAAATACAGAAATTCTGTTCGAATCTCCGCACGTGTTCTCCGAGTGTTGCTGAAGTATTACACGAGCATTATCAGTTAATGTCGAGCGGTCCGTTAACTGTCGCTGCCGTCCCTTTCAGCTCCACTGCACCTCATCAACCGGAACCACACATCTGAAGAACAGGATCACGCAACCAACGGGACCATCCTTCTGTGAGTCTGTTCCATGTACCGTTTATTCCCTTATCATTCTTATATGTAGTATCTTTTCCACTACATATTTGGTGAGCCCTTGCTTAGATTATATCTAGTTTCATACTTTTCCCCAGTTTCTACAGGGAATTCACTTTATTCGATTTTGTGTTTTCTTTACATTTAAATATGGAACACTCAAATTTAGACCTAGAGGACCTCC